AAAAAATGAGTTTTGGTTTCCAAACTAAAGGTTATTAAGATTTTAAAGGAACAAATTTGCTAGTAAGCATAGAATTTATAGGAAGGCTCACTAATAGAAGTAGCTCCAGATATAGAGTAAATGTGAATGACGTAATTGATAGTATGCAATCAAAAGGTATAAATTTTATGAATCCTCTTAAAATTGGTTCTGAAGAAAGAGCTGGAGAAGAATGGAAGATAGGAGAATTAATAGAGAAAAAAGAATTAAAGCAACCTAAAAACTACATAAGCTATTAAAATTGTGAAGGAAGTAGCAGTATTCGATTTATGAACTATAAAGCTGCATCAATAGAAGACTCTGAATCATTTATGTCAGAATCGGAAATTAATGATGATAAGAATAAAGGTATATCTGAATGTATGGAAAAGGCTAATTTAGATGATGAAATAATTCATTGGGAAAGAAGCTAAAGCATATTGAATGGGAATATAGTCATTCTATGACAAAGGATTGGCCAAAAATTAGAGAAAGAGAACTATTTATCATTAGAGAAATTGCAAGGTTAAAGGAACTAAAAAATGATAAAAATTCTGCCACTAGTAGTTCAAGCATGGAAGATAAAATTATAGCATCCACAGAAAGAAAAGCAAATGCTATTATTAATAAAAAATTATATCATTAATAATAATAATAATAATAATATTCAAAAGGAAGAAATTGTTAGTGAAGAAGAGCAATGGGATATCAATAATAAGTTATTATTAGAAAGTTATGAGGAAGAGGAGGAATTAATAAAATAAATGTGGTTAGAAGATGAAAGATATGATGATTCAGAAAAAATAGTGATTTCTATAACTCACTAGATGAGGTGGGACTATATAATTTAGACAATGCAATGGAAGCCATGGAAATAGAAAATAGTGGTAAAAGAAGAAGGGGATATGGGGAATCATGTGTAAAAAGAGAAGGAGAAAGAGAGAGACCTACCAGGTCAGCTGGACAATGCCCCCCCCAGAAAAAGATGATTATCAACCTACATATATCCCGGGACAATATAGATACATGGGTACAAAAAGAAGAGATTTTGAAAAACCAGTGCAATTTCAAAATTATAAAAATGATGGTGCTATATTAAACCTAGCAGCTCATGATCCAATAGATTGGCTGAATATAATCAGCATATGGAAAGGATTAATAGTACAAAAAATTATAAAAAATCAGTATAGCATATGCACTAAGGTAGAAGATATGTTAACATATCTTGAAACATTTTTAGGAGAATCTGTAGAAGTTCTATGGAAAAAATGGGTAGAGTCATACCCTAGTCAATATGAAGAATTAAAAAGGGCAGGAAGTAACCCTAATAACTTTGCGAATGTTATGTCAAATATGATCATAGCAGAAGATCCAGAATTAGGACATACCTCATTGCAAAATGAAAGGTTAAGAGAAATAGAAAAATTAACATTAACTAGCTGGAAAGGTATTAAAGAATTTTTCCAGCATTATTTGTATAATGCTACTACTGCTAAACAAGGTTTTAATGTAGGTGTAGTAGAAAGATACTCCCTCCATTCCTTTATGTAAGGTGTATTATTTTCTGCACGGTGACCAAGGCACCTAATTATGCACTAGTTAGGACAAAATTACCCTTCTCTAATTTATAGATTAGTGGCAAGTAAATCATTTAGGCTAGGAAAGGAAGAGATACACACAATCGGGAGAGAAATAGTTTCCTTTTCTTTCTCTACAAGGAGAGATACATGCAATCAGGGGAGAGATACTTTCCTTTTTCTGTAGGGCCAAAATTGGAATTACGAGGAATTAGAACAAATGCACCTTGGATTGTGGAATTTTATCAAAAAACAAATACACCTTATATAAAGGAACGGAGGGAGTATTTTAATAAATTGCCTGATCCTCTAGGTTCAATAATACTTGAGGAATATAAAAAAGAAACATGAGTAAATGTGGTAAATATATCCCAAGCCATAACATTTGTTTTCAAACAATTAAGAAAGGTGTGTACTAGCATTCAAGCCCAAAGGTCTATGAAGAAATCAGATTATAATTTTTGCAATAACATAGTCCAAATACCACTTACATATGGAGAAGAAAGGCATAGGAAAAACAAATATTATAAACCACAAAGGAGAGATAATAGAAATTTTAAAACAAAGAAAAGATATTTTTTAAGAAGGCCAGACAATAGAGCCCCATTCTTGCATAAAAGAAATATAAGAAGATATAATCCTAAGAAAACCTATGATAAAACATGCAGGTGTTTCATATGTAACTCTCCTGATCATCTATGTAGAACTTGCCGTCATAAAGATCAGAAAAGGTACTCCAGTAAATATGAAGAACAAGAGATAGTGTTAATTATAGATAGCGTTAATGAGAATATATTAGTATGTGATGATGAAATAAAAGACGACGAGTCAATATATTCAATTATAGAAACAGATGAAGTAGAAAATGAGGCTCCAGAATATGAATCAAGTGAAGATGAAATAGACTTAATAGATGAATTAGCCAGTTTTAAAATTGAAATGATGAACCAAGTAGATTGTGAACATGATTGGATTAGAGGAAAAGGTGATTATAACATAAAATGTGCCTTTTCTATATATTATCCAAGCCAAGATAATAGGCTCACATGTAGCTTGTGCTTAAAACAAACATGTACCTCATGTCTAAGAGCCAATAATCAAAGGTGGAGACATGAGATAGAACTGGAACCAGAAGAGCGAATATTATCCAGTAGGGTTAGAAATTTAGAAAATAGAATAAATAAGATAGAAGCAGAGCTAGAAAAACTTATAGATGAGTTAGAAAATAGTAAAGAACAAAATAATAATGTTGCAAAATCACGGAAATGAAAGCGCAAATGGTAAAAGTAAAGGATAAAAAAGGAGACAAATTAATACAATTGAAAGATGCAATTACCAGTTTTGGAAACAAATATATTGTTCAATTACCATTCAAAGAAGTGTTAGGGATAAGGATCCCAGTTAGGATTGTTCTAAAGCCAAATATTTCATATAAAATACTGGCACTATTAGATACTGGTTGCACTAAGAATATCATCCATGATAAATATTTTATGAGATGTCCCAAAATAGTTGAAACTATAGATGATAATAAAGCTGAAGTATCTATCGATATGCCAGGAATAAAGAAGATCCATAATCAGCTAGCATATAATATTGAAGCTTACATAAATGGCACAAAATATATAATAGATGAAATTACAATAAGAGATTTGTCAGTAATAAATGATGACATGATAATAGGGTTAAGATTTTTACAACAATTTTACAAACCACAATCATACATGAAGAGGGGGTAACATTTATCCCTTATCAAGATAATATTCCATACATATCTGAAGTGTGAAAACAAAGAAAGTCCATGCAAAATGTAGAAATATCTAATTTAGATGATGAATATAGCACAAGTCCAAATCCCCTTGAATTCTGTAAAGACGAAGAACTTAGTGAGACCACAGAAGTATATCATATAGAAAATACATGTACAGAATGCATAGGGTTACAATCATTCTCGCCAAATTGGTATAGAGATATAAAATCTAAAAAAGTTATAGATAAGATTGTGCAAAGACTAGAAAGCATACAAAATATTGGAGAAATACCAATGAAACATTGGGATAAGAACTCTATAGTTTGCAAAATAAATATCATAAATCCAGATTATATAATTAAGTCAAGACCAATAGAAGCTACTCCTAAAGATATCGAAGAATTCAAAATGCATATTGAAGAGTTATTAAAGTTAAAAGCTATAAGAGAAAGCAGAAGCCCTCATCGATCTGCTGCTTTTATAGTTAGAAATCATGCTGAAGAAGTTAGAGGTAAATCTAGAATGGTAATTAACTTTAAAATGCTTAATGATAATACAGTTGACGATGCATACAACATACCTAATAAGCAGGAATGGATTAAGAGAATAGAACGAAGTAAATATTTCTCTAAATTTGTCTTAAAGGCAGGATTTTGGCAAGTAAAAATGGCCGAAGAATCTATTCCATGGACATCATTTACTTGTCCACAAGGCCATTATGAATGGCTAGTAATGCTATTAGGTCTAAAGAATGCACCTGCACTATTTCAAAGAAAGATGCAAAATATATTTAATGAGAATCAAGTATTCATATTAGTATATGTACATGATTTGTTAGTATTCTCAAAATCATACAAAGAGCATATAGCCCATCTTGAAGTGTTCTTTCGAAAGGTAGAACAAAATGGGATCATACTATCTAAAAAGAAGATGGAAATTTGCAAAGAGAGAATAAATTTCCTTGGTCATGAAATACGAGAAGGAAAGATATATCTACAAGAACATATTGCAAAGAAAATATTAGAGTTTCCTGATAATATGAGTGATAAAAAAGTTTTACAACAGTTCTTAGGAATTGTAAACTATGCACGAAACTATATAGATAACTTAGCAAAGCTACCAGGACCTTTATATGCTAAATTAAGAAAAAATGGTCAAAGATACTTCAATTCTGAAGATATAAAATTAGTAAAGGCCATCAAGTAAAAGGTCAAGAATTTAAAACCCCTAGAACTGCCTCTAGAAGACAATTATTTTATAATTGAGACAGATGCATCTAAGGTAGGACGGGGTGGGATACTAAAACAAAAGCCCAATAAATACTCTCCAAAAGCAGATAAAAAAATATGCAGATATGCTTCAGGAAGTTATAAATTAAAGAAGTTATATAATATTAATAGAGAAATTCTTGCAGTTGTAAATGCAATAAATGCATTTAGGCTATATCTAGGATTCAAAGAATTTACAGTACGAACAGACTGTGAAGCCATATGAAGATATTACAATAAAATTAATAGTAAGAAAAGCTCAACCAGAAGATGGGTCTTACTTGAAGACACCATAGCTGGGAATGGTTATAAAGTTATTTTTTAGCATATTAAGGGAAAGGATAATACCTTACCTGACATATTTTCTCGTGCATCAAATTTGCAGATATGAGGAAAGGATTATTCCACACCAAGGAGGAATATATCTTCTTTGGAGAAGAAAATAGGCTGAAAGTATTTCAGCCAAATACATCCAATTTCAAGCCAAAGGCTCATATCAAGCTTGATGAAGTTCAACGCTGCATATTGGATAATTTTTGGTTCCAATATACCACCAAAAGAGAAGAAATGGGATATATGTTATCAATTCTGTATAGCTTGGTAGAATATTTTAGCGAACTAAACAAAAAATTGCCAAATCCAAAAGAGACTGAAATACCAAAAGGAGAAACACTATATCTTATATTTTATGAAAATAAACCTGGCACATATTTGGAATGGGAAAAATATTGTGATTGAAAAATTAGTTGCAAAAAGAAAAGGACAAGATTTAACATTCAAAAGATATTATAGTATAGATGATGCCTTACTTTCGACAAGAAAGGTGTTAGGACTAGATTATTATATTGACCCAAAGGCTAAAGACTATATCCAAATGAGAAGAAGCATACCTGCTTCATCAACTCCCACAAAAGGGGATGCATCAAGCTCAAAAAATATAAAGAAGGAAAAATCCCCAAAATATAAGACATATCAAGAATGCCTTCTAAAGGGGCTTGACCCTTTAGACAGTGAATGCATAGATCAAGAAATGGATAAAAGATTTGATTTTTTTTTTCAAAATTAATAAAGAAAGAATTAAAAGAATTAAGGAATGAAATGGATGAAAAATTTGAAGAAAAATAAAGAAAGAATGTGATGAAAAATATGATTTCAATCTGTTAAATGATGATGATCATATGGACATAGCAAGGCATGGGCATCGGCCTGAATAAAGCCCAAACTAGATACATTGATATTGCTATCAATTTTTCGGGCGCGGAGGACCTATACCCAACCCGAATATTGATAGAAATTCCTATAATAGATATTTTAAATATTGATAAGGTATTATCAATCATATGGGCAGGGAAGACCCCCTGTAAAAAAATACAAAAATTAATAAGCAATGTTGAAAATTTAAGCAGCCTTGGCATGTATGTACGCATACACGGGCACAAATATTCTTGAAGGCAGAAAAAACTCTGAAGGCTAATCGCATGAAGATCTGTATGGCCGAAGAGCAAAGACTGGTGCACAGAGGCCAGCCAATTATTCACCGAGAGACAATGGCACGTGAAGAAAGCAAAGATTCCCGAAGATTGAAACTTGTCGGCACGATCTCTCACACTTTTCTATATTATTAGAAGGACACGCATGTACCCTAGTAGGACACACGTGCATGCTACGGTGTGTAAAATAAGTGAAGGAAGGCTCCCGAAGGCCTCCCTAGGAGCCACCCCTCGCGGCTATAAAAGGAGACGCTGGCCTCAAGAACAAAACACAAGACGGGAGAGCACGAAGCACTCAAAGCATCGAGACCCTCCACCAGAGCACCACTTCCTTTGTAGTTTAGCCACCACCACTACTAGTAGAATAGCTAAGAAGGCGCTTAGTTTTCCAAGAGTTTGAAGGTAATTTCCTAGTTGTGTGTAATCCCTTCGAGGCCTCTCGAAAGGGAAAACCATATGTAAATTATATTGCGGAAATGATGTAGTTTCTTGGTTTCACTTGGTATTTTTATTTATGAATTTATGGGACGAGTTCTTATGCTAGGGATCCTATAGGAGAAACCTTTGCGTGTGTAGTTCTCTTTGTAGCCCAGAGTGGCATTTGAATGAGAACCTTGTGGCCGTAGAGAAGTGTTCCCTTCGGGTGAAACTGCCAGGGAAGACGATAGGAATTTACCCCCTAAATTTGCAATTAAAACTACTAACTGAACTTAACTAGCTACATCTGATACAACATAATAAAAAATATGGTGAGTACTGAGTAGGATTTTACACCACTGCGTACGTCGTCGGTCGAATTGTTGGCCTCGCCATCCCAGAATAGATCCTGTATCAAATAAATAATCAAGTCAGAACGTGAAGGTAATCATATTGAATTAAATATTATTGTGAATAGTGAAGTACTATTCCAAATAGTGTACTGAATAGTAAACACTATTGTGAATAGTGTTCTACCTAGTGAATAGTAAATACTATTCAAGATAAAAAGCGCATACCTATCCACCTGATCCCCATATTAACCTAATCACATATTAAACTAAATTTATAATAATTTTAATTCCCTATATTGTTGGTTGAAAATTTAAGCAGCCTTGGCATGTATGTACGCATAAACGGGTACAAGGATTCTTGAAGGCAGAAGTAGCTCTGAAGGCTAATCGCATGAAGATTTGTATGGCCAAAGAGTAAAGTCTGGTACACAGAGGCCAGCCAATTATTCACCAAGTGACAATGCCACGTGAAGAAAGCAAAGATTCCTAAAGATTGAAGCTTGTCGGCACTATCTGTTGCACATTTCTATTTTATTAGAAGGACACACATGTACCCTAGTAGGACACGCGTGCATGCTACCGTGTGTAAAATAAGTGAAGGAAGGCTCCCGAAGGCCTCCCTAGCAGCCATCCCTCACGGCTATAAAAGAAGACGCTGGGCTCAAGAACAAAATACAAGACGGGAGAGCACGAAGCACTCAGAGTATCGAGACCCTCCACCAGAGCACCATTTCCTTTGTAGTTTAGCCACCACCACTACTAGTAGAATAGCCAAGAAGGCGCTTAGTTCGCCAAGAGTTTGAAGGTAATTTCCTAGTTGTGTGTAATCCCTTCGGGGCCTCTCGAAAGGCAAAACCATATGTAAATTATATTGCGGAAATGATGTAGTTTCTTGGTTTCACTTGGTATTTTTATTTATGAATTTATGGGACGAGTTCTTATGCTAGGGATATTATAAGAGAAACCTTTGCGTGTATAGTTCTCTTTGTAGCCTAGAGTGGCATTTGAATGAGAACCTTGTGGCCGTAGAGAAGTGTTCCCTTCGGGTGGAACTGCCAGGGAAGACGATAGGAATTTACCCCCTAAATTTGCAATTAAAAACTACTAACTGAACTTAACTAGCTACATCTGATACAACATAATAAAAAATATGGTGAGTATTGAGTAGGATTTTACACCACTGCGTACGTCGTCGGTCGAATTGTTGGCCTCGCCATCCCAGAATAGATCCTGTATCAAATAAATAATCAAGTCAGAACATGAAGGTAATCATATTGAATTAAATATTACTGTGAATAGTGAAGTACTATTCCAAATAGTGTACTGAATAGTAAACACTATTGTGAATAGTGCTCTACCTAGTGAATAGTAAATACTATTCAAGATAAAAAGCGCATACCTATCCACCTGATCCCCATATTAAGCTAATCACATATTAAACTAAATTTATAATAATTTTAATTCCCTATATTGTTGGCAGATTGATAGAAATTCCTATAATAGATATTTTGTATTATCAATCATGTGGGCAGGGAAGACCCCCTGTAATATATATATATATATATATATATACAAAAATTAATAAGTAATATTGAAAATTTAAGAAGCCTTGGCATGTATGTACGCATACACGGGCACAAGGATTCTCGAAGGCAGAAGAAGCTCTGAAGGCTAATCACATGAAGACTGGTACACAGAGGCCAACTGTCGGTGTCAAAACCGGCGGATCTCGGGTAGGGGGTCCCGAACTGTGCGTCTAGGCAGATGGTAACAGGAGACAAGGGACACGATGTTTTTATCCAGGTTCGGGCCCTCTCGATGGAGGTAAAACCCTACTCCTGCTTGATTAATATTGATGATATGGGTAGTACAAGAGTTGATCTACCACGAGATCAGAGAGGCTAAACCCTAGAAGCTAGCCTATGGTATGATTGTTGTTTGTCCTACGGACTAAAACCCTCCGGTTTATATAGACACCGGAGAGGGCTAGGGTTACACAGAGTCGGTTACAATGGGAGGAGATCTACATATCGTATCGCCAAGCTTGCCTTCCATGCCAAGGAAAATCTTATCCGGACACGGGACGAAGTCTTCAATGTTGTATCTTCATAGTCCGGGAGTCCGGCCAAAGGTCATAGTCCGGCCATCCGGACACCCCCTAATCCAGGACTCCCTCAGTAGCCCCTGAACCAGACTTCAAGGACGACGAGTCCGACGCGCAAATTTGTCTTCGGCATTGCAAGGCGGGTTCCTCCTCCGGATACTTCATAGAAGATGTTGAACACAAGGATAGTGTCTGACTCTGTTAAATCAATTCCACATACCACCGTAGAGAGAATAATATCTGCACAAATCTAATCTGCTGACGTATTCCATCGTGTGACATCATGCCACAACCAAGCCTTTATTTGAATTGTTTTACTGTCCTACCTCAGCGTGTTTAGCGAGGCGGTTTCCTTGGCACATCTTGTCAAAGCAGAGATCGTGTCCCCTTATTCCGGGATTCTCATCAATACGGGCGTGGGTAACCCAACCGCGCCATCAATCACGGCGCTTGGGAGATAAGCGAGCTTTACTAGGCTGGTGGGGGCACGCAGTTTCGGCCGCGCATATAAGGGGATAAGAATTCACCCTTTCAATCTACGCCTTCTTCCTCCTTTTCTTATCCATTTCCGCGCACTCAAGCTCCAGCGCCCAAATCTGCACTTCCCACCTCAACCTTCTCCAATCATGTCCGGAGCGGGAGGTAGATGGATGGCCTCCACCGTCATGGAGGGGAACATCAAAAAGTTGAGGAAAGCCGGATACTTGTCTAACGACATCGCGCACCGGCTCCCAGATGAGGGGCAACTCATCCCCACCCCTAGGCCCCATGAGAGGGTGGTGTTCCTCACCCATTTCCTCCGCGGACTGGGCTTCCCACTTCACCCATTTGTCCGAGGGCTCATGTTCTACTACGGCCTGAATTTCCATGATCTGGCCCCGAACTTCATCCTCAACATCTCGGCGTTTATCGTCGTGTGCGAGGCCTTCCTCCGTATCAAACCCCACTTCGGCCTATGGCTGAAGATCTTCAGCGTCAAGCCGAAGGTCGTGGGCGGCCGGCAAGCGGAGTGCGGAGGCGCCATGGTGGGCAAGATGCCCAACGTCACATGGCTCGAGGGCTCCTTCATGGAAACCATCAAAGGGTGGCAATCGGGGTGGTTCTACATCACCGAGCTGCATGACCCTGAGTGGGCAGCGGCCCCCGAATTCCAATCTGGCATTCCCACACGGCTCACATCTTGGAAAGAGACGGGCCTATTGTGGGGTAATCCGGAAGAGGTGACCGGACTCCAAACCTGCGGCCAAGACCTGGTGAACAAGAAGGTCAAACTTGTCAACGTAGTCCAGGCCATGCTCTTCCGTCGGATCCTCCCGTGTCAACGACGTGCCTTCAAATTGTGGGAGTTCGACCTGGCCCAGCACCAGACTTTGT